CTTAAAATATAATCGAACAATGAACGTTTTGAAAAAAAACATGCCCATGCAATTTTTTCACAAATGTATTAAGGTACTTAATACCTTAAAATATCAGAAATAAGGATTTTCTATTCGGTTAAATGAAATTGTGTAGATAGATATATTTCTAATATATAAAGTTGTAATCTCTGTTTGTTTGTCCGATCATAACTCAGGGACCAACGTCTTGACCGATTTGCCTCAAATCTTAATTGGGTAACTCGGTAGTACCACGGGAATGTTCTTAATTTTTAAGCTTTTGAGATTCTAAAATGATTGGGTCCACTTTTGTAAGGAAAAAAAGCTAAAATCGCAATATAAGAACAAGTGCGCACAAATGGCCGGCGAAATTTACTATGACTACCCTGGGCAACGCTAGGTTCCCAAAATAGTGTCTAAAACTCAGTTGTTTTATTTTATTCTAGTATGTCTAATCCCAATGATGATACATTTTTTAATTTCGATTTACTATAAACCTTTCCTTGGGTCATACAAGATTACACAACAAAAAATTGGGCCTGATCGGTTCAGGTTCAGGTTCAGGTTCAGGTTCAGCAATTTTTTTGTTAATCATAGATATTAATAAATATTAACCAAAGCCAAGAAATGTATACCTAAAAATTGTAAAAAAAAAGTTTTCAAGTTACAACATGAAATAAGGATTTTTGAAGAAAAAAATCAAAAATCAAAAATTTGTCAAAATTCGTTTCAAATTTCAGAAAAAAAAACATTAAAAAAGATTTAATTAGGAGACAAAAAATCTTTATTCATAACAACCACAAAAGTTTACATAAAGTAAATATTTAAACAATGGTACAAAAAATCCAATTCTATCCCTTTAACGAATAAGCAATTACAAAAATACCAAAGAATAAAATTACTTGATGTGAATCATATCGTTAATTTCTAATAAAAATGTTCTATCTATTTTTGAACCAAAATAATTTTTTACTGACTTACAGCTTTTTAAAAAAGCTACATATATAAATGTTAAATAACGACCAACAAACAAATTGTTCATTCATGTTTTGTGTTTTACAGAAAAAAAACATTTTTACATAAGTTTATTAGAAACTTTAAGACCAAGAACAGAGAGAAAATAAAAAAAACAATTTAGCATTTTTTAGGAGGGGTTGAAATAGGGGTTTGCAGTTTTTCAAAGCAAATGGTTTAGCCTGAAAAGGTTGACCCAGAAACAGGAAAGTGGAATAGTTTTTAATTATAGCATTTAATCATTTGGTTAAGCTGAACTACAATGGCATGCATTCGAACAACATATTTTAAACTTTGATTAAATATTAGGATTAGATACTAAATATACAAACATATTTTTTTCACTTGACCGGGTTTGCACAAAATTTAAAAAAAAATAAGAATTAAGAATTAATATTCAGTCAAATATTGACAAATGAAACCTAAATATTTATTTTTTCCCAACTAAAAATTAATTTTAAGATTTATCACATGGTCAAAAAATGTGAGCCGGCCGGGATATAACAAAATGGTAAACACACATTGTATCTATTTATCCAACTGTCTTGCGGGAATATAATTTGTTTCTGGAATAACGTTTTTTTTTGTTTTTTTTTAAGACTTAAATTCAAGATTTTTAATCCCAAAAGTAGTTAGTGTATAAACATCTTGAATTTAAAGCGAAAACAAACAAAAAAGGTAAAATTATATAAATTTGTGTGATTCAAGTTCGATAAAATCCGCTAAATATAAAGGGAAACCTGCCTTGATAATACAGTGAAACCCTTAATAACGAATACATCGAAAGAATTCATCAAATGTCGTATTCTTCACTTTCTGATAATGGAATATTGTAGATATTTAGTTTTTTAATTAAATGATTATATAGAACTCTTTAAAACTGTTCCCACATATTCATGGCTATTTATTTATTTTCGCAAATACTGAAATTTACGTAATATATTATAAAACTAATTGAAAAATTGTCAAGACGACATTTGATAAATTCTTCCGATGTATTCGTTATTAAGGGTTTCACTGTATAATATATTATGCATGTGCCCTCGAACAAACACACAACTTTTTATACCCAAGACTATGAGATGGTGAGTAAAAAATACGGTATGGAAATTTACTTTAAAATGGATAAAAGAATATTTAAAGTTTGGCATCTTTATGAATCCAAAGAACATTATTCCAAGATTTCTGCTGCAAAACACTAAAATAAGAATTTCATTAAAGGGAGTGACCGGCTATGTTAGGTAGTACTGAGTATGCAGTGTTGTGGAAAACTTCTTTCGGATTCATTTGAGAGATATTAAACTTTTTAAAGATCTGTAAATCCTGAGTTTGAGCGCAAATTCGGCGTTGAAATTAAATTATTATTAAATAACGTCGACAAAAAATGTAAACAAAACTCTACAGTAAACTAATTAGTTGTTTCGGAACCGGTTGAGAAAATAAAAATTAATCTTATCATCGAAAATATGTAATCTTGTTCAATTATTAGTTTCTATTTTCTCATTATTCACAAACATTTTCTGCAGATTTTCTTGAAATATTATTGGAAAGACGACATTTGAAGAGTTTTCAGATATCTGCGAATAAATTCAAAGAAAATAAGAAATTCAGAAAATTTTTCGCCGTCGTTATTAAGTAGTTTAAAATAAACGATTCTGAAAACGTATCCACCCCCAAAGTAGGAGTATTGTCATCGAATTTGCGCTCAATATTACATGAATTGTACTTTAGTTGTACTTGAATTGTACTCGACTTGTACTTGATCAGTAGATGATCAATATATGATAAGTATTTGATTAGTATTTGATTAGCCTTTGATTAGTATTTGATTAGTATTTTATTAGATTTAGATCAGTATTTGATCAATATTTGATTAGTATTTAATTGGTTAATCGATATATTATCCAAGAAATCTAAAAAAACAGAAACCAATTGAAAAAAACCTACTTTAATTTCTTCATCGAGACAAGGTCTGCTGGATGATAACCAGAATCTATAAACCCCTAAAATACAGAAATTCACCAGTAATTTAACCCTATCACGATGGGGGGGAGGAGGGAGTGTTTTCCTCCCCCCTCCCTACTGTGGCTTATTCTAAATAGCTTAAAAACGGATTACACGAGAGCGTTCAAATTTTTCCAACTTCATAATTAAAAACAAATTTTGAAAAAATATTTTTATGCAAAGGGTCATAATTATTCATGAATAAGAAATTGAGTCTTTGCCACAGACTCTGATTTTCTCATCCCTATATCTTTGCAACCCAATGTTGTAGCCCTTAAATATTGCAAATTATGAATTCTGTTAGATCAAATAGTCTAAGCTTGAAATATCAAATGTTTTTAGGATCAGGTTGCAAAGATATACGGATTAGAAAATTTTAGTTGTGGCAAAGACGAAATTCCTTTAAGGGACTGAAAACGTTTAATCTACTTAATCTTAATCTTAAGATTTCAAGGATAAATTTGTGAACTGGGCATGCTTCTCTTTAGATGGAGGGTCAAATAAAATTACGACAGCAGTCCCTTTAATTTCAAATTTGATATCAAGGTCTGTAAATATTTAATCATTTATCAATGTAATAAAACAAGACATTTGTATATATGTTCCGTATAGCCGGCCATATGGCTGAACCGAATGGGCTGATATTTTTTGAGGGAACCCAGGGGTATCCCTGGGGTAAAATAGGCAAAAAAATATAATTTTTCAATTTTTTAAAATCATATTTTTTAATTCCACGGGCAACGCCAGGTACTTCATTTTTTACACTATATAACAAAGAATTTATAATAAATTCTATATTAGATATTGTATTGAACATACGTTTAAAAGATATTATTAGTATTACAATTTTAAGTTGCTGTAAATATATTTTAATTTCGTGTTCTCTTTACAGTAACAAAATTGACTCCCATAAAATTAAAAGTAGATCAATTTTACATGACATGACACTAATAGGCTGAATGTGAACTGATGGCTTCTATATAGTTAAACTCATAGAATCATAATACTTCTTTTAGAAAATAGCTATTAACATGCTGAGATTAAATATAATAGAGATTGCATGTTTATGTAAGGACATAACATGAAGAAATATCTGTCATTTTACAATACACATCAAGAATATAGTATTTTCCTTAATACAGTGGTAATCATAAAGCTTTCAAAAAATTTTTCAATCGAAGGTTAGTTAACTAGAGTTTGATAATGATGTAAATGACATATTCTATAGATTAAGTTTGTAAACCGCATTCATCACATGCCAGGTAGAAAATAAGTTTATGGCTGGTCAAAGTTAAAAAAATGCATAGAAAATTGTGGCTTTTAAATTATTTTATCTAAATCCATTAATTCAAACAGAAAATTCATTTAACTTTTTATGCTCTACTTAAATGCGATCAATAGGAAAAAATTGTTGGTGGATAAAGGCGCGTAAAGTTTAATGTATGTGTACTATTTTGTCTGAAACTTGAGCCTGTTCAAACTCAGGATTAAAAACTGAAGTTTAAACCTCTATTTTTTAAACTTCAAGGACGATTAAACTCCTAAAAATGTTGAAGGGTGACGATTCTTGCACCCTCTCTCTCTTTCTACCATCCCCCGACTTTGGTATCAAACTTTTATTTTGAAAAATCCTTGACCTTAAAGATATTGTAAATTTGTGGGATATTTTGCATAAAAAATCTTTTTTGCTTTTTTATTGTAATCCAAATTTAAAAATGCAAGAGACCTGAATTAATAGTTGAACATCTGGACACATACCATCTCGATTATCCTTAACTATAATCCATTCCATCAGGATATAAGGAACAAACTTACTCTAGCAATTCATTTTTTTAACATAAATTAATGGACAGTTAATGGAGTTGACGGAGTTAAAGGAGTTAAAGGAGTTAAAGGAGTTAAAGGAGCTAAAGAAGTTAAAGGAGTTAAAGGAGTTAAAGGAGTTAAAGGAGTTAAAGGAGTTAAAGGAGTTGACGAAGTTAAAGGAGTTAAAGGGGTTAAAGGAGTTAAATGCGTTAAAGGAGTTAAAGGAGCTAATGGAGTTAAAGGAGTTAAAGGAGTTAAAGGAGTTAATGGAGTTAAAGGAGTTAAAGGAGTTGAAGGAGTTAAAGAAGTTAAAGGAGTTAAAGGAGTTAAAGGAGTTAAAGGAGTTAAAGGAGTTAAAGAAGCTAAAGGAGTTAAAGGAGCTAGTTAAAGGGGTTAAAGGAGTTAAAGGAGTTAAAGGAGTTAAAGGAGCTAAAGAAGTTAAAGGAATTAAAGGAGTTAAAGGAGTTAAAGGAGTTAAAGGAGTTTTAATGTGCATTCCAGGTTAGAAATTACAAGGCATTTCCAATTAAATCTTTGTCTCTGTCTAACTGTTGAAATATCGATTATCTTTTCTCTAAAAATCACCAAATTTCGATTGCGGCTTTTTAAGAATGGTCTTGACGACATCTTTCTAAGTGTTGCTTAAATAATTCAAGTCTTTAAAGGAATTGTGTCTATTCCGCAAAATCTGATTTTTCAATCCCTGTATATTTGCAACCCAATTTCGTGTAGAAATGTAAAACTATGAATTCTGTTAGATCAAATATTGTAAGTTAAAAATATCAAATGTTTAGACACTTTTAGTTTGTGGCAAACACTCAGTTCCTTTGGGGTTATGTGAAATTATGTCGACTGTCCTTTTAATCACCAAAAAATTTAATTAAAAAAATTTAATTCCTTGATTTTTGTCTGTAGGTAGGGAATCAAAGCCTAAAAATTAGCAATATTGTTTTACAATCTAATGTATAATATTTATAGGTTTTTAATTTCTTAAAATTTCCTACATCAATGGTGTGAGTAAAGGATAGTTGTCCATAATTCTCACAATTTTAACTAGAGTCAGAAATTCGTAGGTTTTGGAAATTAGTAATTGTCAACAATTTTGAATATTTTGAATATAAACCACAAATATTATGCAATATTATTAAGATTTACACAAAACAAAAATCTACACAACGTTCTAAGAAATGTTCATATAACAAAATGTTTTGGACCAGCACCAGCATCAAATTCACCATAGAGGAATCATTCGTCAAATTTTGTTGAAAGTGAATTTGATGCCAATGCTCCAACAAATTTTGTTAGATGAAAATTTGAAATTTCTTAGAGTGAATCAAAAGGTTAATAGTCAAGTCTGAATATGAATTTTATAGTCAATACTTCTAACGAGGCATTTTATAATAAATCTTTGCTGATCACTTGACATATCCTGAAAAAACTGTAACTTCAAATCTCGAAATTAAAAAAGTTTTTGTCTTTTTTAAGTCTCATCCTTGTTGGTGATCCTGCAAGTTAAAGTAAAATAAAAATGTTACATTTACCATCTTAGATAAAACCGGATTTTCCATTTTTTAGTCTGACAAGGTTGTTTCAGGAAAGTATTTGAAGATGTTGAAGATGCTTGATTGATTGATGCTATGGTATTGTTAAGTGAATCTTCATTTATACTGGATTCACAACGGTATTCTTTGACTGATCAAGGATGAATGAAATATCCTTTTTTCCCCTTTTTATTTCTCTATAAAAGTGACATCTGCATTTATGCATCAGAGACTGTAGTTTCCAAATACACATGCGAGGAATAGTTCCTCAGTGTTACTAAGATAGAGTTTTAAAGGGACCAGCGTGAATCGGAGATCCTCCTCTTTAGAAAGGGTCCCTTAAAATTGTGTCTATAGTCCCATTAACTTTAGTTCATGATTTACCTTACACTCGTGTCCCTCAATATCTATTTTGACGACCACTGTATCTGTTAGTACAGCATCCATCAGATCTTGGAAATGAACGGATTCAACCCCGTCTCCTACTTGGCTTTTCTATAATATTATCAATATTAACTGTACCCTTCAACCCAGTCTCCTTCTTGGCTTTTCTATAATATCATCAATATTAACTGTGCCCTCCAACCCCGTCTCCTACTTAGTTTTTCTATAATATTATCAATATTAACTGTACCCTTCAACCCAGTCTCCTACGTGGCTTTTCTATAATATCATCAGTATTAACTGTGCCCTCCAACCCCATCTCCTACTTAGTTTTTCTATAATATTATCAATATTAACTGTACCCTTCAACCCGGTCTCCTACGTGGCTTTTCTATAATATCATCAATATTAACTCTACCCTTCAGCCCCGTCTCCTACTTGGTTTTTCTATAATATCATCAATATTAACTCTACCCTCCAACCCTGTCTCCTACTTGGCTTTTCTATAATATCATCAATATTAACTCTACCCTCCAACAGCTTGGAGACCTTAATCTACAAATAGCGAATAGTCAAGGCATCTATAGGTCCGATGTATGCAAGTTAAAAATTGAAAAAATTATGTCAAAAAAATGTAGAAACTGAAATTGTATTTTCCACCCTTTGCCTTACGAAAAAAAAATTAATTAAGTTTTCTTAAACATACTGTTCAGGTAAAATAAATGGGGGTATAGGGTAAAGCATAGAAATTCTAGGCTTTGATTGCTTACAATAATAGTTCTGATGTCCCTGTCTGAAATAATTGAACAAAACCGTGTCCGAGAATAATACACACAACCAGGGTTCATCCCTTTGTACATACTCTCATTTAAGTTCATTGCTCCCAGTCGGATAAATGATGCAAGTAACAAATGCAATCTAAGAATAAAGCCAAACAAAAAGGGTATTGACTCCAGGTATGTCTTCAGTCTTAAATACATAAGGGTGTAGGGGGACAAAGGTATTGAACCTCTTCTCTTATCTAGAGATACCACCTGCCTGCTGCGGGGTGCAAGGATCGATGCTGGAGAAAGGAGTAACGGTACAGAAGGATGGGGTATTGAACCCTCTTTCTTATCTAGAGAACAGCATTTATTTTGCGGGCAGAGAAAGCAGATCGTCGTCGATCTTAGCCCTAGAGCTCCAAAGAGGAGTTTGTTAGCACAAAGCATCTGATTTGGGAGTTAGTTCTTACCCTTCACCGTGACAAGACGTGAGTGTGTGTGTGTGCGCTCGGTCATCTGGCACTAATTATCTATAAGTTCATGTATAGATAGTTCAGTCAACAAATTATACAGGGTGTATAAAATGGCTGGTAGGAAAAATGCAAACCATGAAAAACCTCCAAGGGCTACTAACTCCAAGGAAAATAACAAGTCAGAAAATTACCCAGAAATAGAAATTGCTGCCCTAGATTCTATTCTCAAAAACCTGTCCGATCTAGGAATTGGTTCTGAGACTGATATACAACCTGAAAAATCTATTTTTGGTACAATTCTAAACCATTTAGTTGAAATTGTGGTTATACTGAGCAAGGAGATATCAGAGCTCAAACAACAGAAGCAAGAAGAGAAGGAGATAAAAAACCAGCTTAGAAAATTTGGTTAGGCGGGTCCAAACTACATAGTAAATTGTGATTTTTTTATTTGTATTATCTCGTGCTTTGTAGTTGAATAAAAATATGAATGAATATGATCAGAAGAGTCGATTGGAAATATATTCACCCCTGGTGAATGTCATGTACACTTAAATCAACTCTAGTTGGTCCTACAATAATCGTTTGAATCGTTATAATGTAAATATATTGTATGTGCAACCATGCTTTGTTATTCCACTCAATCTTGGCTTTTTAATACGGAATTCTTTTTAAGTTTACAATATGGTATTTGAATCAAAGTTTAAACAGATCATATAAAGCAAATACGGAATGAATCTAAAATTTATAATAACCCAGTGGTGCCTAGAAATTTTAGGCACGCTCCTATCATAATTTGAATATAATAAAACTTATTAATTTGTAATAGATATAATTGATTTTCTGTTATATCTGTATCATGGGACCAGAGTTTCCACCAATGACCGTGCAGTATTTGATCACGTTGCTTGGTCCACCATATTACGTATATTAGAATTTTAGTATAACCCGGACACAATTTTATATAAATTTCTCGAGACAAGGACATCAGATATAACTATTATTGGTCGCAAGCAACGTCTCAAATTTCTAGCCTTTAGCCCATACCCCCTTTCATTTTACCTGAACATTCTCTTTAAAGGCTAAAAAAATCTTTTCATAAATAAAGTATGATTATTGAGATGACTTTGTTTATCAGTCTACAGTTTTTAGAGAAAGCTTCAGCTTGTTTTGCCCTGTAACACTCAAAAACTCCTAGAAGTAAAAGATATAAATCTTACTGGCTTATGTTTAGCTTCTTCTTCCGTCAGAAAAGTCATTGCTCCTGGAAAAAACGTTGTTCTGTTCACAATAATACCTTTTCTATGACATACACGTAGCACTGAAAATACCAGAGAGACTTTTGAGCAGCTAGAGCAAGCTCCACATTACGCATACAGATTATAGGAGGAAAAACGGGATGGTACACCAAATTATCCTTGTCTATGGAGATTTTATTGGTATGGGCGTAAAATACAATTTAAATTTAGAAAAACAAGATATTTAAGAACACAATGCATATTGTATTATTAAATTTTAACCTTCATTATCAGGATATCGATTCCAAGGATACAGTGTAAACTTTTCTCCACCACTTAAATAGATTAATGAATCATGCGCAATCAGAGAACTTATACATTGAGAACACACATTTAGGACGCACATTGAGAACACACATTGAGAACACACATTGAAAATACACATTGAGGATTCACATTGAGGACACACATGGAGGACACACATTGAGAACACATTAAGAATACACATTGAGGATTCACATTGAGGACACACATGGAGGACACACATTGAGGACACACATTGAGAATACACATTGAGGATTTACATTGAGGACACACATTGAGGACACACATTGAGAACACACATTGAGGACACACATTGAGAACACACATAGAGGACAAACATTGAGGACACACATTGAGGAAACACATTGAGTGAGCAAATTGAGTACACACAAAAGTGAAATACAAATATATATAAATATATATATATATAAATGTATATATATTTATAAACCATGGTATATTGTGTACATATTATGTATATTCACTAGAGTTTATTTAATACTTAATACTGACTCCACCTTTTCAAAGCGAGTGAAAGTAAATCGAATCAAGAAATTGAAAATAAAAAGTTTTGTTTTAATTAATTCTTTACCTTACGCTGTTAGCTATAAACCTAATATTTTCCTCAGTTCCTTGAAGCAAAGTACTTAACCTTTGATCAATCAAATTAAATTTAAATTGTTAAAATCTCGCCTAATTTAAGCTACCCATTTTGGGCGAAAACGTCGATATCGACGTCTAACTTTATGACACCCTGTGCCCTGTCTATGAAAAGTTTTGGTTCCGATAATTTCTCAAATACAATAGGTCAGACTAGTTTAATTAATTTCTTAAATACAATAGGACTAGTTTAATTAATTTCTTAAATACAATAGGTCAGACTAGTTTAATTAATTTCTCAAATACAATAGGTCAGACTAGTTTGATTAATTTCTCAAATACAATAGGTCAGACTAGTTTAACTAAGGTCTGTAAAGGCTTCACTATACTCTTCATCACAAGTCTCTCAGAGCTAACCAAAATGCAAAGGGCAAAAATATTCAGAAAAGTAAAACAGGGTATATTTTTATCTTTTTTTCCAAAATCTTTGATTATTTTGTGTCCATATTTAGTGAATTTTTATTTTAAATTGATATTTGATCATTAGTCAGTATGAGTTAGGATTGCATTGCCATTTGTAAGTCCGTCAATATCGACGTCTTCGGATTTTAAATAAACAAAGTTGTATAACAGAGTTTTTTATTCAATTCTTGGAAACGTCTTGCTACTTGTTCGATTCCCCGCCTAATCATACGCCCCCCTTGCTCTCAATATCTCCCAAGTGCCCCTTCAAAAGGCCAACCTCCCACAACTTTTTTTGTTGTATTGTAAAACGAGTTCAATAAAGAATTATCTTCCTTTTTTGTCCCTTAGAAACTAATTAAAAATAATATGGGATTTATTTGTACAGGTCTCAGGGGATACAGAAACGTGTTTTCAGAAATTTTACCTTAAAATTTTTGTTTTTGTTTTATAAAACAAAATGTAAAAGAAAAAAGGGAAAACATTTTAATGTCCTTTACATATTGGGTCAAATATAGATTATAGTGTTTAAAATTTTAGCCAATTCTGAGGAACAAAATTTCTCTCGTCTTTAATGGGACTTTTAAATGCAGGTTTATTATATTTTTTATCATTTCTTTTTGTTGGGCTAAAGGTATAATGGCACAAAAGGAGAAGGAGAATTTATGGAACATTTACGAATTCCAGAAAATAAGTGTGGTGTGTAAATAAAACTACTTTGTTTTTTCCTTAAAAAACAAAGTAATTTTATTTTGTTTTTATATCTTGTAAAGGATTTGAGTCTTTGCCACAAACTCTGATTTTCTAATTCCTATAGCTTTGCAATCCATTCTTGGAAGACCTTGGATATAATAATCTACGTTTAATCCAAAGTTTACACCATTAGGTTGCAAACATATTGGGATAAGAAAATTTTAGTATGTGGTAAAGACTGAAATACTTTACAGAAGATATTTATTTGGTAATAGCTCATTATTGATTAACTTATTATTACTTCAATTGGATTCACTTTCAATATTCTCATGAGTCATGCGTATGTTTGGTGTGTAGTGTGTTTTAAAAGCAATGTATTGTAAACAAATATTAGCTTTCTCAGTCTGTTTTTTGAAAGAAAATCGATAAGGAGTTTGTTAGAAAAAGGGTATTTTGACAAGTTTATATTCTTCGGCGCTCAACTTTTAAACGAACGGAACTTATTCGAATCCAACAGGGAAAAAGTTTTATATATTTTTAAAAGATGCAGTGATGCAGTTATGAACCTTTGTATCAATTTTCAATACAAGGTAGATTTATAAGTTTTTATGTAAGAACTTGAAACATATCCTTGTGATTTATGATGAATTTTGACCAATGCAGTTTTCAAAATTTCAAGTAAAAATTATGATTTTTGGCGACGACCTCTGGAAAGTAAAAATCAATATTACTTAAATATAAAAGCAGCAAATAAAGTTAGTAACTGAATTACGAGCGTCTCTGTATAGAAACAAGAATATGTCCGTCATCCTTAGTCAAATCTTTAAATAGAACTGTTAGAATACAATAATATAAAGGTTGGGTTTGGGTTTTTCCTATTTATGTAATCTTCTAGTGGTATTTTAACGGATTTGGAAAAGAAACAAACAATGGTTACAGCTGCAAGAATCCATATATGTAAGAAGTCTCATACTTCACTCTGTATTATCTTAAATTATTTGATTTAATTCCTTTGATACGCTAAATTCGTCTGCAAAGGATCAACTGCTATAACCCTAAAAAAGACTTTATGAAAACCACATTAATGATGAAAGAATTAAAAAAAACAGAAACGACTATAATCTAAATATAAAGGTATATAAATGCAAGGTGTTGCTAAAGCTTTATATATCATTTTGATATGCATAGAAATAAAATATTCTATAGCCTGAACACATTGATATTTTAATTTACAATTAAACATACACTTTAAGCAGTGTGTTTAGGTTTCTGCGTTTGAATAATTTTTAACAATTTATCTATACATATAATATTTGACTTGTCTGTTTGTCTGTCTGTATCCAATAAACGTCAAAACGTTTGAACCGATAAAGCCAAAAAATTGTGTTATGGTTAATCATTTGACTCCATGCAGGGATTGTTTATGGACCGTCAAAAATGAAACTTTTTGCCCAGAAAAAAAAACTTGACATTTATCATTTTTAGAAAAGCGCTAATTTAAGCAAAAAAAATATGCAAAAATTTGAGAACGTGGGGCGCAAAGTTTACTAAAAGCCTAGTATTGCTGTAGAAAGATGCAATATAATTTTTTAATGAGAAATTATATTATAAGCACAATGTACATAATTGTACATGAGTGTATATGATAAATTATATGCAATAAATGTATTTACAAATCATTTATAATAAATTAGCTTTGTTCTACAATGTTTGCTATAGTCCAATGTATGTATGTGTGTGGTTTATAAACTTTTAATTTAAATGATTAGTAAGTTACATATTTAAAATATAACGGTAGGATAAAATTATATTAAAGATTTTAATCTTTTTTAGTTTAGCAATGAATTTGTTATAAAAATAAGATATATTTACAGGAGACTCCTTCAAACTCTTGAATCACTAGAATAAAAAAACGAAAGCGAATAATTCACCTGCACTGGAAACCGTAGAAATGAGCTGGAAACTCTAGTATTGTAAATATTGAGATCAATGTTTGATCTTTTTGTTAATTTACAGATTAATTAATTCTTTATTAGATTTCTAGAAAAGTGTCTAAGATTCAACCAATCAGCGTGTCGAATTTGCAAAAACCAAACAGCCAATCAAAAGCCAGGAAATTTTCCGCGCAATCAATGAACTCTCATTTGTCGGAACCCGGCATGAGAAATCCAAAAGAGAATATTAAGCAGAAAATCAATCGCTTAGTGGATATTGAGATTAAGAGAACGGGTTTAAGTGTATCCAATTAAGACAAGAGTTTCCAGGTATGTTTGCGTACACAGAATGTGATGCGTGTTAGCTGTGTCTTAGAATTATTAGAATCTTTCCATTAGGATCGGTTTATGGAATTTTCCGTTAGACCTTTTTAGAAATATTTTTTTCCTTACTTGTATGCAACATTTTTTTTGGGTCATGGTTTTGGAACATATCATGGTTTTGGAACATAACATGGTTTTGGAACATATCATGGTTTTGGAACATATCATTGCTTTGGAACATTTATTTGATTTCAAATTAGTGTAAATAGTCAAGCGGGATGCAACACTATTTCGTATCAAAACGAAAATTGAAAAAAAGGTAAAATTTAAGAAAAAAATAATTAAAAATATCTTTACTTTTATTTTAAAAGTGGGGTTGTGCCCAAAACGCGGCAATGATTCCAAATCGGTTCGAAAATGGAAAACCTGGAATTGTCTTGAAACAGGTCGAAGTTTTTGAATTAAAAGATCTCCTGTAACAATTTTAATTTTGGAAAATAATTTGACAACTTGCTCGTCATGCTTATGGAATTTTGGTTATGGTTTTTATTATCTAATTTACTCTCAATATGGGCCTGGACCTTAACATCAAATCTTTCAATTTGTGCTAGCAAACACTAGTGTCAGAAATGGGCCATGACCCTAATTTGGAACTAACGTCCCCTGAAATACTTCACCAAAAAAATATTTTGATTGTTGTACAAAAAAATGTGTTACAATACCGTTAAAAAGGACTGTTAATCAATTAAATATCAATGTTTATAATTTTGAAAACTGAAGATTTTCAATTGTGGTTTCTCTACAAAAGCATTTTACTGCAGTTACACCTATTATACCCTTTGAAATTCAGAAAAACGACAATGTCTTCCACATTATTGATCTGATAAAGTTTTCAAGGGTACCGTTGTGAATCGGACATTGCCATCTTTGGATAAAGGATCACTATTTTGCATTATCTGATGAGTTTGTAATGTCAATTGTTAACCAATCATTGAATATAAGATGTACTTTGATTCTATAAGCGGCCTTCAAGTTTAAACATAACATTGACAAAGGATGGCTGCAAAGTGCATACAAATCGATTTTGCAATTCCATTTATTCATGAATAAGAACTATCAAAAAGTTTAATTTAAAAAATTTTAGATTGAAAAATTAAAAAGTTTAATAATTGAATCACCAATATTACATTTACAAACTGGAGTTGGTTCAGTGGGGAGAATTGGGCGGAATAAAATAAGGACCATAAAACTAGAAAATAAGGACCATAAAACTAGAAAATAGGGACCATAAAACTAGAAAATAGGGACCATAAAACTAAAAAATAAAGACCATAAAACTAGAAAATGCGCAAAATTTACCAAGAAAAGTTGCTTCCGGGTAAATACTCAGGAGTTTTAGAATAAGATCAATCTCAGGTTTCTCCCAGGCCCCTGAATATTATTATCGACGACCAAACATCTTCATATCTTTTATATCAATCGGGGCTGTCAACGTTGTTTTAAATGACCCTTTATTTTGAGAAGAACATGGCTCTGATTCAATACCGTACTTTTCAAACCTCTGCTTATCAAAAATGGCGAAGATATCCTTTTTTTCTACGTGAAAATTCCATTTTTAGTTTCTTTAAGAAGGGGATTTGCGGATTTCTGCAACAGAGAGATGATAGAAAAATGATTTGTTCCGCATTGGTTTAGCTTTAATTTAATAGTTTAAATGTGGAACACTTAAAATAAAGTTGACAGTCCCTTTAAAATAAAAAAAATAAAAGCATTTACAAAAAGGCTGGGAGGAGGTCTCAAAATAGATTTACTTAAGAATTTTAGAATTTAACCTTATGGTACAGGGCAAATATTAAACGATGTAGAAATAAGATTTGTTTCTTTCTTTTTTTCGAATATTACTTTATTAGCATTTAATGCATGATTATATCCATATATTCCATATTTTTAAAGGATGGAGTCTTTGCCACAAACGCTGATTTCTAATCCCTATTTCTTTGAAAACCAATGTCGTAGACCTTAGAAATTTCAAACTATAAACTCTGTATAATATCGTATAATCTAAGTTTGAAACATCAAAGGTTTACACTGTCAGGCTGCAGAGATACAAAGATGAGAAAATATCAGTCGGCGGTTTAAGTTTTTTATACATTTTGGACCCCTTGATTATTTAATTAATTTTGGTTCTATATTGTCCTTTCAACAACAGTTTTTAAATGTCCAATTAAAATGTTGCAAACAAGGGTGTAATACAAGGAAAGTTGCGGTCGTGTATACTCCGCGTACATTTTGAAACCAGTTCTCTTTGGGCGGAATTTGTAAACAAGAATAGATGCATCAGTGTTCGTTTAGTATCCGAGGATATTCCTATGACCTGAATATTTCATTGATTTTTTATGTGAAAGATGGATCCCATGTCTGGCATGTAACATCCGTCTTGTGCTTACATTACCGCCCAGAGACAGTACACTGCAGTACAAAAGATGCGCACACTTCTGAAATAACTTTCCTTGCATTACATCCTTGGTTGCAAATAAGAACCACATCATTGGTGGGATTTAGGGCCTGCTATTGATGGTTTGCCCCGAATCTCTTTTTGGAATTAATTGAAAGGTTTAATAAAACGGAACTATGAAGATAATCTAAAAATGTTTCTACTCACCTGTGTCATGAATAGATTTAGAAATATACTGAAACAGAAATATGTTACTAAATAGTTTGAAAAAATTGGTAAATTCCTAGAAAACACTTTTTGGACCACACCCCCCCCCCC